CTGAGTCCCTCCGATCTGCGCAGCAGATCCGTGCAGCGGATGTGAGTGCTGTTCCGTGTAGTGAGTCTATCTGTTTACCCAGCAGGCCGGCCGCACGCCCCATCAGTGTGAGTGAGCGAGTCCGCGGGACGTGTACGTATCTAAATAGTCAAGCAGGAGGGAAAGTTGGAGAAAGTCGAGCGGCTGGCCCGTGTGGTGGGGTGGGCTCCGGGCCCGGCGGGCCGTCATGCGTTGGCGTAGCGGTGCTCACCCGCGTTCCCTAAACAAACAGTCCAGGACGAGGTCCAGGACAACCAGGACGAAGCGGCGCGGGACTGACAGGCGCGTGGCTGCAGAACGGCCTTGGAGAAAGCTCGCGCGCGTGACCATTTTATTCTCACTCTCGGTGTATTTCTTTCCCTTTTACGCGCCAAGTTGAATGAGGATCAAAAGGAATAATGGAATTGGAAAGTTTCGCCTCTATGGTCTTTGGCCGAACGGTCTGACGGACGGGCATACCACGGCGGCAAGGCGCGGGGTTCAGAGCTCTTTGCTTTCTGTGCCGTCTTCATTCTTTTTCAATTTACTCGCGCAACGCCACAGCGCGTCATCGGGTTGACACGCGGCGGGCTGCGCTTTGCTTGTTTGATTCAAGTGGACAGGTTTTAGCGACAGGCAAGATTCCGAAGCGGAAATAGGATTTTGGGGCGGCCATATGGCGTGGCTGCGGCGGCGTTGGGAGACCGAAAAAAAAAGCGGTGGCAAATGTTTGCGCGAGGGAAATGAGAAAGGAAAACAAGGCGTTCGGGGAAGGGCGTCGCCGCCACCACTAGGGGTGGGGGCCCGGGCCCGGTGGGGTGTTGGCGCTGCCTGTACACCCCGCGTGCGCGGCGGCCCGCCGGGCAAGGTCGCCAAGTGCCGCGGCCGATGCATCTGGTTGGCAGGGAGTGCATTGCATAACGCCCCCTAATTCGACAGAGTGCTCGGGCAAGGCGAAGTCGTGGGGGAGGCGGGGACGGAACGGCGCCAAGCGTAGGAGAACGAAAAGGAGGAGGCGAGGAGGAGTCTAGGAGTCTGTTTGACTGAATGCTAGTGAGGCCTCACTAGTGGGATTATGTGCGGCGGCAGCAGCGGCCCGCTTTTGGAGCCTAATGTGTTTCTGACGCGTCCGGGCCAAAGGGCCGCGAGCCCCGCCCCGTGGCCGATAATGCGAAGTGGATGGGCCATCCGGCTCGCGACCGCGACACCGCCCCGCCCCGCCCCGCCCCGCCCCGGCGGCCTTGTCCCGTTATGGTCGTGTTGTTATGTTGTGGGTTCTCCGCGGCTCATTGGACAACCGTCTCGTCGCGCCCTCAGCCTCACCCCTCGTCACCCCCCTCAACCCCAAACTCGTACCCTATACGACGGTCGGCTCCTCGCAAGTTTTATGTGCATCTGGATAGTATAGGGTTGCCCGCACTGTCGCACGACCGATGTCCGCTCCTCGAGTGGCGCCCGATGTTCGTGTCACGGTCCTGCTGCCCTTCCCTCGGAGTGTGTAAAGATGGGCAGAAGCAAAGGTATCCTCGTCGTGTCAGGAGAGGGTGAGAGTTTTTACGTGACTCGCGGACCCCGAATAGAGGACGCCTGGAAAGTAGCAGGAAAGTACACTTTCCTTTTTGAGTCACCTCCAGTGCCGAATGTCTACACTGAGAACTTAGGTGGGCTGAGTTGCGGCTACTCACTCACATGGCGCCACAAAATGTTTTACGAGGTGACGCGAGGCAGCGTTACTGGGGAACGTTCGGCGCCAATGGTTCCTCTGAGCT